ACTGTAAATAGCTGAGGCAATCCTCTGTAAAGAAAAAGTGTTTCCATAATCTGATCATGGTGTTTGAAAACCCACCCACCTACCATATTTTAAAAGTTATTAGAGCAATATTCCTCCTACAAACAAGCAACAGACATACTAAAACAATTTCTTACCACTCCCTCTGAACAAAGTGCAGGGGGGAAAAAAAACACAACCGTATCGTTTTAGGCAGTTCGGTCCAAAACTGTACGGAGTCCCTTCTTCTGTGCTAGGAATAAGGTGGACAAAGGACAAAAGATACCCTTCATTTGTTATTTCAACAGGATAACAATTCCATATATTTTGAACTTCTAAAAGTTTGGAAATATGTCTCTAAAGAGGATTAGATGCTATAATATGAACGAACTCCAACGGTATTTCCAGGGAAGTCCAACGTCCCACACGGCTCATGAACGGACACACTGATGCTGGGATCGATTTTCATTTCATTGCAAGTCACTCTCAAATAACTTATAAGTGAGAGGAAAGGGACAATTATCCCCAAGAATAGAAAATACGACATTCTCCCACTCTTCAAACCCAATGGATCTCAATTTATTGCAAATTCAGCATCGTTGCTTTGGGTTGAGCCTTGCTGAAAATGTTACCTACAGAAAACATCCATCTTTAAACAGTTATAACTCACCCCAAGCCCAAATTAAGCAAATCTACAGGAGTTTTAAAATAACACAAAAACTATTTTTATTCTTCTTAAAGCCAGCACAGTGGCTTTTGGCATAAATATCCATTTCTAATACAAAATTGGATTAAGGAAATATCATCCAGTGTATAGACATTGAAACGATTTTGAAGATAAAAAAAGAATTCTTTTGTAAATTAAAAAAAATGATTTTAAAAGTTCTCTTTCGTGGCGAGTTGAGAATGAATCACTATGTCACCGTAGAATTTGTCAAAGATTACAAATCTTGATTTAATGCAAAGGTCTTCATGCCGCAAAGCATTACATATAAAAAAGATTAAAGAGCAAAATCTTTTATGATTATTGCCTATTGCTCCTGCCACTTAATCTTTATTTTCAGTGCTTTAAATACTTTACTCATCATCTGTATGAGAAACTACTGTGGCGCCGGTCCGTAAAGGGCAGGCGGCTGAGACCGCGAGCCTGAGCCTCATCTGTGGGTGTGCGTGCCCGAGGGAAGGGGCGGTTCACACTGGGTCAACGGCAACGAGGAGGACGCTTGGCTTACAAACCTTATCCAGGCAAAGAAAACGTCTTAACTGGAGATATGCAGGGCTTCTGACCTTACAAAAGTGCTGCCTGCCCCCACTATTTAATCAGTAAAGATGCAACTAGGTTTTAAAAATGCTAATTTTGGGGGCGCCTGGGTGGCTCAGTCCTTAGGCGTCCGCCTTCGGCTCAGGTCATGATCCCGGGATCCTGGGATCGAGCCCCGCATCGGGCTCCCTGCTCCGCGGGAAGCCTGCTTCTCCCTCTCCCGCTCCCCCTGCTCGTGTTCCCTCTCTCGCTGTGTCTCTCTGTCAGATAAGTAAATAAAATCTTTTTTAAAAAATGCTAATTTTTCTCAGAATAAGGTAAAGATACAGAGGCCCCAAATGTGAATGTAAGCACTTCTGAAATTCTAAGAAACCAAAACACCGATGTTGCATGAATAGAGATTAAGTGGCAAAAAGAGAAGAAATCTAGATGACTACAAAGTGCCAATTATATCCTTTCATCTCTGCCTTAGTTTATATGATAGATTTGAGAAGGAGAATAGATTAGCAATGATCGACCCTTAGATTAATTTTGTTGGGGGGGGAGGAGCACAATATTGACTTTGAAATAAACTTCTGGGGGGAAAAAAAAAAAAAAACAGGCAAAAAGCAGGCAGGAGAGGTCTCTAAAATAATACCCAGAAAGCAGTCCTATATATCTTACGTATTTTCCTAAAAAGATGTTACTTACATAAATCTGAGTGATCACTTAATGTTAAAAATGTGTATCTTCACGAGCTACACATATTTCTCGGTGGAGAGGAAGCTCCATGGGAAGAACAGAGAGATCTACTTACACTTAAAAAAAAAAAAAAAAAATCCAGTACCTGTACCGACGAATGCATTTCTTGCACGTAAATGTGACAGAAGCGTTTAGAAGAGACCGGAGAACCCCGGCCATGCTCTCGAGGCTCAGACTCACATTCCCTCACGAGCAACAGCGCCCAGGGGAGCGCGGCACATGGAGCGACGGACAGGACGCCGCGTTGCACTTGGACGACAAAGAGAAAGCCGACAGGACAGCAGGACTCACTCACAGAGACTGAGCCTCCCGGCTGCCAGCACCACCTCGTGAGAGGCTAAGGAGCAGCCTGATGGGCCTCGCGCCTCGGCTCCTCGAGGGATCCCCCCCGGTCCACCCCCGTCCACGCGCCAAAGGATCAGCGGAGGCACCGGAGAGCTCAGGGTCGGGGCGTTTGCCGTTACATTGCTGAAGAGACGTTTTTATGGTCGCCGATCGCCGTTCTGGGGAAACAGGACGGCCTGTGCGTTCTCCAGTGGACCAGACCCCCGCTACCTCGACATCACAAGAACTCTACCCGGGTTTTAGGCTGGCTGTGTGTGCAAAGGCAGCTCATCCCCTCAGCTCCCGAGAATGCTTCTTTCATCACAAAAGTGGGTTAAAGACAGTCGGGAACGTTCGAGAGGTAACGCTCACGAGGGCCAATCACGCAGGTGACAGAACAGGAATGAGGCTTGTAGCTTATAGGGACGGCGTGCCTGTCGGTGACCCGTATCCTGACTTTTTAAGTTCGAAGCTCTTCAGATAGACCTTGCGAGGGCTAGTTTTCATTGTCTGGACTTCACGGAGGCAAAGAAAAATACCATTCAAGTTCTGCTCTGTTAAAAAATTCTGAACTTGAAATTAATTCATATGCCAAAACTATTATATAGTAAATATTTTAAAAGAAAAAAATTAATCACACTTCCTAACTTCATTTTTTATTTATTGTTATTCCAAAGCAGATATGCTATGATGAGATATTTCTAAAAATACAGTTATCTATTCTCAAAACCCTGGTTATGCAGGAGGCTAGAAATCTCGTCAGAAGACATTTATCAACCAGTAAAATATAAAGATCAACCTGTACTCCACCAAAGGTTCAAGTGAAATTATGTCTTTACAAAACCTCATATTTTCAAGGAATGTTTTGCAAAGAAGCAGCTTTTATAATTAGGAAGTAAATAAAAATAACATATTAATGTCTTGTGTTTGCCTGCTAATAGTTAATAAATTGAGAAAACTCACAAATGAATCACTGAGAGATCTTTTTTTCTTTTTCTTTGACGAAAATAAAAGTAGGCTTTAGATTCACCTGGTAAGGCCTTACATAAACAGGCGGTTCACCAACACAGTTCACTGAACTATGCTTTCTGTACAGTTAGAAATTAAATAAACCCCTTTTAGAGACTTGTCCTGAGAGATGACATTTAATGCTACAACCAAAATAAATAACCTAGCAAGAACAAAATTTTTTAAATTCCAATAATTTCAACTTTGGAGATATCTGTTCACCAAAATCGATCAACATCTCTAAAATATTTTAATACAAAATTATAAAAGAAAAGTGCATTAAAAGCAGAATCTTTAAAACTCTGGCACAATTACAATTATTCGGAATATATGGACTACAGCCAGCTACACACTGACATTCAAGGAAAACCTCAGGATATATAAGTCCAGTATCACAAGAATACGTCAAATAAGGCTTTTTTTTTTTTCCTTAAAAAAATATACAATACACAAAGCAGTTTGAAAAAAAAAGTAATATTATTTAACAGTTTTCTGACTTAAATATTTTCACATAACAAAAGTTTTTATATCATCATCAATATTACTTATGTACATACGCCAAAAAGTGAACAACAAAAATCAAAAGATGCCCTTTGAAAAAATAACAGTGAAAATGTCTCTTTCTTCACGAATCTGAAATGAGCTCCTCTCTTAATATACAAAGTCCACACAATATTTATAATAAAGCTGCTCTCTTCTGAAACCAGGGAGGCCATGAGACAAAATAAAGGCAATTATTTTTCAGGAAAAAAACAAAAGCAAAACAACCCCACCTTTAGGTTACAATGAAAAAGACACCCATTTACGACGATAATGAATACAATACTGATCTGAAGTGCTCGTGGCGAGGTCAGAACTCTGATGCGCTCTCTCTCTGTGATCGGGACGAATGCTTCTATTTACAAAATATACTGTTCAGCCACACAGAGGCCCATATATCTGTCTATGTACATATGTATTTATATATAGAACATATAAATAATTCTGAAGGAGAAACTCACATGAAGTAAAGAATTTTCCGTCTTTGGAATGCTGTAGGAGCAACGCATACTCTGCCCCGGCTCGGGGTGGGATTTGGTTTGGGACATGTTCCATGTGGCACCATTGATGATAGTAAAGAGTTCCCTGAAATAAATAACACACCTGCCTATGCATGAAGAGAGGGACACGGGGCTTGTTCGGGGTGTCACCTCTAACCTACGAACACGCCGCTGCGTGGCTGGCGGGGGGACGGGGCCACGGTTCCTCTACTCCGAGGACACAGCTCTGCTCTCACCTGCTCGCCCCGCACGCCTTGTGCTTTCGGCCACCGTCTAACCCGCGGACCCCAAGGGGGACTCGGGAAGCCGGTGCGGCCCCGTCCCCGCCCCGTGAGGACGCCTTCGTCCCCGTTTGGGCCCCGAGGCTGCATTCTTGTGGCTAAGGCTGGAGCCTCGCAATGCAGAGAGAGTGGTGCAGCCGTCTCTCCAGGTAGTCCAGGAACTGACGGTAGACTGAAGAGTCAACTTCTAATTCCAAAATGCACAGAGAAAGAAAATGGAAAACACTTCCCCGTGTGTGCTAACATTTTTCTGAACTTCATGCACCGATTTTACGTTTTACGAGCTATGCTTCTGACAACGGAAAGCACGAAGGAAAACCTCCTCCTTCGCCCGCGCTGACCTCCGTCTCTAACACGAGGAGGCCACTCTCCGCGGCCGTCAGGCCCGCTGACGACTTCGCCGCGACGCGCCGGCCGCCGGCCTGGAGCAGTGCCCGAGGTCGGGGCCTGCGGGCAAACGGGACGGCGGCGGCCGCCCTGCCCGCGGCTGTTGCCCGTCGGTCTCTGAGGACAACGGTTCTGGAGACAAGTTTGCGGCGAAAGCGCCAGCGCTCCTCCGTCTCCCCGCCTCCGGCCGCGTCAGAACACGTTGGCCAGGGCCTGCCACTCGCTCGCCGACTCGGGCACCACCTCCTCCAGGCGCAGGCTGCGGCTCAGCTCCTCGGCGCCGGGCTCCTGCTGGGCCGCGGGCTCCGGCGCACTGCCTGCGGACGGGCGACAGAGCGGGCAGAGCCTCAGACACTCGGCGGCCCACGGGCTCCCGGGGAGATAAGGGCATCGGGGCACGGACCGCTAGAAACGGGCTTGCTCTCCACGCCTGAGGAGAAAGACTAGCTTGAGGGGCAGGGCAGCCGGCGGACGGCCCCTTTCTCAAGTGGACAGACGCAGCCCTTCAGGCCCGAACGCTCCGTCGAGAGGCCGCCGAGGAGCGCTCGACCCCGAGGGCGGGCAGCCCGGCCAAGCGAGCAGCAGCAGCAGCCGGCCGGCCCCCGCTCCAGGCCCCGGCCCCGCACGCGCCCACCCGGCCCCCGCTCCAGGCCCGGCCCCGCACGCGCCCACCCGGCCCCCGCTCCAGGCCCCCGGCCCCGCACGCGCCCACCCGGCCCCCGCTCCAGGCCCCGCACGCGCCCACCCGGCCCCCGCTCCAGGCCCGGCCCCGCACGCGCCCACCCGGCCCCCGCTCCAGGCCCCCGGCCCCGCACGCGCCCACCCGGCCCCCGCTCCAGGCCCCGCACGCGC